GCATCTCTTCCTCTTGCCCCAGGGGTGGGGTCTGGAACTTTGGGGCTGCGGTCGGCATTTTCTGACCCTGGTGTCCCACAGGTTCCCGCTCAAGGGGAGCGAGGTCTGATGCGGGCAGTGGTGTTGTTCGCATGTGTTCTTTACAGTGAAGGGCGACTGTTGCACAGCTTGAATTGGATCCTGGGCACTGTTAAGAGTTGTCATGGAGAAATGCTGGCTGAGCTGGTTTCTTTCTCGCAGCCCAGGCCGTGCAGCTCCCACGGCCGCTCAGTGGTTTGCGCTCCCTCACGGTGGCCAGCTCTGCCTGCAGTAGTTTAAACAACCTGCAACTTCATTCCTTTACTGTCAGGAGAATCAGGGAGGTTAACCAGCCTGTTGGTGGCCAGTATCTGGACACAGACAGCGAGTTGTTCACCCAGTGCCTTTCCCCTTTGGAGATTAAGGGATCGAATGTCAGCCCAGCAGTATGGCTCCCTGGTTCATGTAATTCCTGCAGTCCAGGGAGCTGTGGGTCTAACACTCAAGTCCTCCCCTGCAGAATTACTAATGCATGTGTGATCTGAGCGTGATCTAGCCATGGAAAGCTACCCTGTAAGGGAGCAGGCTGGTGAGAAATGGAAAGGACCAGCAGCATCGCCCGGGCCGGCCCTGCCAGGCCAGGGTAGAGTTACTCAGATAAAGGGCAGTGCATCTGAGAACTGCCACCGCCTCCCCCTCGTGATGCTCAGGCCTGTGCTTTTTGCCCTTTAAAACTCCCCTGCAGGACCGTGCCGGTAGGAGCCTGCAGGCAGATGGGGAGCTGGTTCACCCCGGGATGACGGGGGTGGGAGGAGGTGCCGCCTTTACCGTGTAAGTGCCGCCTGCTTCTGTGCAGGTGCCGTCACTGGGAGCTTGTGGCGGCTGTGTAGCGTGTGTTGACTCAGGGAGTGGCGCGTTAAGGACACGGTGGCGTGAGGCCAGGACCGACTACAAGTTCAAGTCGAGTATTGACTTGCTTTGTCAAGTACAGGGCTGACGAGTGCCCTCAACGGCACCTGTGGTCACAGCTTGTTCGCTTCATTCATTCAGCCCTTTCCCGGTTGCCCTCTCTCCTTCGGTAGCTGGCAAAGTGAAAATAGAGGGCTCTAAGGAAGGCCTCAGTTAAACCCCAGAGCACGCTTGCTTCTGTTCCTAAAAGGGGGTGGGGGGCATTGCGGGGCTCTGCAGGGAGCTTGGGAAGGTGGCGGGAGTTGCCGCCAGCTCACAGACCGGGGGCTGTGCCTGCCCCGGCTCGGAGGCTGGTCGGCGGCCAGCACGCCCGGGATGCGCCGGCCCGGGTCAGGGAGCTGCACCCCCAGGGCAGCGGAGCGCGGGCCTGAGGTCCACTGTCTGCCCTTCGTTCCGGTGTCGGGTCTCAGGCGGCCGGATCCCGTTACGCCCAGGACATTCGGTTTCACTGAGGAACACTTCCCTTTATGTTTCCTTGCGGTGCAGACGATCTACATGGATGATGGCGTGTCCTCTTTTGTCCAGATCAGAGGCTCGGTTCCGTTGTTTTGGGAGCAGCCAGGGCTTCAGGTAGGTAATAAAAAAGTCTGCGCACGTGTGTTGCTGTTCACCCTCCTTTCTCTCTGGCATGGCTGTGGTTTGTTTCTTTTAACCATGTTTCTTTCACTGCACAGTGGCACAGTTTCTGGTCTTTTCCTGCAGCACAGCTGGATTGAGCTGTGCTGTTAAAGTGTGCACGCAAGCATGTGTGTGTGTGTGTGTTGTGTGTGTGGTGTGTATGGTGTGTATGCAGAAACATATACATCGTGTGTAATTTTCCGATCGTGAGCTGTTGATGCAACTGAAGTAGGAAGGTCGTGGCTGACGAGTGAACCACGAAGTATAATCAAATAGAATCACCTTAGGTCAGATCCGAAATTCCACATATTGAGAATGTGGTTAAGTGTGAGAGTCGTGACTGTCCTAGAGGGCTTTGTAAGGTCCTCGGGCCGGGCAGCAGGCCTGGCATTGGAGGTGCCTGTTGTGTGGCCTCGTGAGAATTGCATAGAGCTTTCTCATGATTTCTAAAAATAGCCCCTGCCGCCCAGAACAGGGCTCTGGCCAGCACTGAGGTATCTGGCGTTCTGTCTCCTGGGAAGAGTTCGGGGGGTGCTATGTTCCAAGAACACGTTTGTCGTCAGTGGGCCGGCACTGCCTCATTCAGTGAGTTCCTACCTGGGGCGGGGAGGGGTGGGTCAGGAGGGTCACAGCCAAGTGGACTTGAGATTCCTCAGCACAGATCCCGGAGGATCCTGGGTCGCCCTCCCCGGCCAGAGGGGATGTTGTGTGCGCGGCAGACATCTCGCCCCTGCCTCCGTCCCTTTGGCTCTTCTTACTTCAGGCTCAGTATGACAGTGGTTGGGACATCAGCCGGTGACTGAAGAGGCTCAGGGCCATCTTCCAGGTTCTTGGGGGTGTTTGACATGGCTGGGTCTTCCCCGGGCCTTGACTTGACCCTTTGTCACTGTAGGCGCATGAAGCATGTCAGCTCTTAGAGCGAGCTGGGCATTGGAGTGTCTCATTTGGGCTCTGAGTTCTGTGGGGGGAATAGCTTCATTAACATTCAGTCTTTCCATTAGGAAGGAATGACTGAGATGTCTGAGGACAGCTGGTGGCATTGAGTGGTGGCAGAGAGAAGCCCTCCTGAGAATGATTATGACGTGGAAAATTCCTCTGGAGCGCATCCCAGAAGTGTGTGTGTGTGTTTTAAGAGCTCCGTTGAGATATAATTTGCATGCCATAAATTGTACCCATGGAAAGCGTACAATCAGTGGTATTTTGTGCATTTACAGAGCTGTGTAGCCATCACCATAGTCTAATTTTAGAACAATTTCATCATGGCTAAAAAACCCAGTCCGCATGAGCAGCGGGCTCTTCCCCCCCTCCCCCTTGTGCTCGCTGAGGCCTAAGCAGCCGTTGATCTGCTTTCAGCCTCTGTAGACTGGCCTCTCCTGGACAGTCCAAAAGAGCGTTTGAAATTCGATTTTCTTCAGATTCGGAGATTTCCTTCTGAAACTTCTGGAGCTCTGTATTTAGACGACTAAAAAGCAAAGAGCAAATGAGTGCAAAAGGAAGGAGGGGAGACCACATGAAGAAATTCACAAGTCGGGGGGATGGTCATGACAGTCTCATCCGATGTGAAATTAGCCCATTTCCCCCAGGGCAGGGGCCCCTCTCCAGGGATCTCTGAGCACTAACCTCCAGGCACTGAGCTGGAGGCTTTGGGGCAGCTGCGATTATTAGGGAGTCTTCCCAGCTGTGCACTCTGTCCAGGTTGTATGGCCCTGGAGCAAGCCTGGCTCTTCATTCATGTGTCCAGGACTCTCCATGTTCTGGTCTCCCTCTTCTAAAAGCAAAGCAAAACTCATATGTTGTTCCCTCTTTAATTCTGGTCTCTAGTCTGGCCTTCCCTTGTGCAGCCGGACCCTACTGGGGAGCAGCTGTCCCTCAGCCTGACAGTATCAGTGGGACCTGGGTGGCCCGCTTTCCTGCAGCTGCAGCACCTTCCAGATCATACACCTGTGCTTCTCCAGAGCCTCCCTCCGCGGTTCCTTCAAAAGGCTTTGTGTTCGTTCATCTTTTTAAGGATGTGCTGACCTTTGGGTCTATACCCATGGTTATCCTCTAGACACCATCCATCATCAAGGAGAAATTGGGTTGTCCCCACAGGGGACCTGCAGGGCTGCTCTCAGTGGTGATCTGTGGTCTCTTTCACTAAACTGTATAAATAGCAGCCCTGAGGGTTGATTCAGGTTGTTTTTCTCTATTTCGGACTTTTCCCCTTCCTTCTTCATTTAGGTTGTATTAAAAGTGCAGATATTTTTGGATGAATAGCTTGCATTTGAAGTTGCAATGTTGCAACACATTGATTGGTTGCCACCCACACGCGCCCTGATTGGAGCTGGGATCGAGCCTGCAACCGAAGTACGTGCCCTTGACTGGAATTGAACCCGGACCCTTCAGTCCGCAGGCCGACACTCTGACTACTGAGCCAAACCAGCTAGGGCTAGAGTACATATTTTATATACTGTTAGTCTGTTGAAGATTTTGCCCCCCTTGTCACTTAAAGACCTTCCTCCCACGTAACATTCACATATAGACTCACGCCTTGCAAAGGTCAGCTAGTCTGTGTTGTGAAGCGTCCTGTGGCCCAGCTGGGCAAAGATGCGGGGCAGCTTCTCTGCTGTTCCCACCTTGCCTGCATTCTCCCTGTCAAAGACTGTTTGCTCAGTTCTTGGATCCATTGTGCTGTGTGTGCTCATTTGTGTGGTTGTATCTTTCTTTGTTCCACAATGTGAGATGGCTTGTAGAACAATGGTTTTAAAAATAATGAAGAGGTTGAGGTGGGGGGTGGGGTGGGGAATACTTGTATTGAAAATGAACTGGAGCCAAGATAAAGCTGCATATACATTTTGTCCATGGGCCTTGAGTGTTTGCACAAAGCCCCCGAGCTTAAGGCAACCATCACAGAAACACGATTGCTCATCCCGTGATTGAGAGCATAGACCTTGAAGCTATACAGACCTGGGTTCTAGTTAAAGTTCTGACTCTCCCACTTAGGATCCATATACTTTTCTTATTGAATTTATTGGGGTGACATTTGTTAATAAAACTATACAGGTTTCAGGTATTATATAATTCTACAATACATTATCTGTCTGTTGTATTGTGTGTTGACCTTCCCAAGTCAGGGCTCCTTCCATCACCTTCTATCCCCCCTTTACCTTCTTCAGTTCCCCCCACCCCTTTCCTCTGGCAATCACCATATTGTTGTCTCTGTCCATGGGAGCCATATACTTTTGAAAAATTCTTATCTCAAAAAAAAGTTCTTATCCCCAGAAAAATGTACTTATCTCAAAAAAAATCTCCAAAAATGTCATTTCAAACAAGAAGTTCTTATCTCAAAAAACCAAAAACAACTGTAGAGAAGTTCTTATCTTTGCTAAGCCTTAGTTTACTCTTCTGTTAAATGGAGTTAACAATACCAACCTCAGGGTTATGGAGAAGGTTGAATATCATAAAGTAGATTAGAATTTAGCACAGGATCCAGAACCTAGAAAGCACTGAGAATGCAGCTGTTGATATTACAAACATAAATTGTAACATCTAGGAGACAAAAGCTCAAGTTGCATTAGAAGCATAGCTATTTGCATCCGGAAGGAGGAATGACAATTTCCTGTATCTCCGTGAGGACACTGTGAGGTGCAGTGACAGTGACCTCATATCTCTATCGGTATGCAGCGCAAGGACCAGTCTTCAGGCTGTTCTATCTCCCAGCCCCTCCTAGACACCCCAGAGTGAGCCTCTTATTCATCCCACAGACGCTTATTGAGCATCTGTGGGTACATGAGGCACAGCCCCTGGCATCAGATACAGCCTTTGGGGAGGAGGGGACAGGACATGACAGTGTGTGAATAGAGTCTACAAGAGAGGCGGCTCTGGGGAGGGCCGCTCACCCCTCTCCCCCAGCGGAGTGGGGGGTTCTGAGCTGACCTGGGAAGGATAGGGCAGAATCAGCCGGCGAGGAAGGCAGGCCTTGGCAGAGGGAACCACAGGTGCGGATGTTGTAACCCCGGAGTTCCAGCATGGGAGAGTATTCTGGGCTGACTGCCTGCAATCCTAGGCATGGGGCATGGCGGGAGGTGAGATTGGAAAGGCAGGCAAGGGCCAGATCGGGACGGGCTTGGACATTCTGCTAAGGAGGTTACATTTCTCTCCAGCTGCTGCCAGAGGAGTGGTGCCCAGACTTTGCTGCACATTAGAATCACCTGGGCAACTTTAAATCTCCTGATAGCCAGGTTGCCTGCTATCCCAATTAAATCCCAGTGTTAGGGGTGGGAGCCAGGCATCAATACTTCCTGAAAACCTCTAGATGACTGAAATGTTCAGGAAGGTTTGGGAACTACTCAGGGGTGTATTGATAAACCAGTTTTCTGAGGGCCAAGAGAGAGAAGTTTGATTTTCAGCATTTTCCCATTGCTGTGCTGTAAATACTCCCATCGTGGCTGATTTCAAGCCACCAGTTTAATGTCCCTGAACTTGGACTTGGGAAGAGATATGCACACAATGGGTTTGTGAGCTGGTAGCATTTGGCTCCAGCACACACTGGACCACTGCACTGAAGGATATCCAGAGGTGGGTGACATGATCAGACATAAGTGTAATAGGTTTTAGTTTTGGGGGAAAAGACTGAAGGTAAAGACACCAGGCAGGACACTAGCAGAGATCCAGGTAAGATGCTGGCAGCCTTAACTAGGGGAGGGGCAGTGGGTGCCAGAGAGATTCACAGATGCCCTTTGTGATTGTGGGGCTCTCTCAGGTGCTGGTGCAGACTCTGGTCTGACTCAGAGCCAGGTGTCCTCAAGACTTTGGTTATTCTCATGGCCAATGCCCCTAGGTCTGTGGTCTGTAGGATTGAAGTGACGACTTCAGACGGGACTGATTGTCCAAGTGTCCACCTGGCCAGGGGGAGGAGGACGGGCGATGGGGAAGGAGGGGAGACCAAATAAAGCATCGCAGTCAGTTCCAGTGTGCCAGTGCCAACAGTGGCTTCATTCCAGCCCCAACTGAAGCTCCTCCTTGAGGATTCCGACACACAGCGGCCTCAGGACTGGGTGACACCGGAGAGGGCAGATTCGGGTCAGTGTCAGAAAGGGTCAGAGGAGGAGGCAGGGTGGGGGAGGCAGGAGGCGAGTCCTGAGGCAACGATACGAAAGGGATGGCGGAGGAAGGGTGGCGTCCTGAGAGAATATCCAAGGCCCTGTCTACCTGAAGAAGTGGGTGAGCGCAGTCTGAGGCCATGATGCCTGAGGAAGCAGCCGGGGGCAGGCTGGGCCTGGTCGCAGTGCCCTGTGGCTGTGCAGTGTGGACACAGCATGTCACCCCACCCGGCCCCCAGCTGCTCATTTCATAAACCTTCCCCCCCCCGCAGGCATTTGCACCCTGAGCTAAAAGGGGATGGAGGAAGATGAGTAGCAACCAGCGCTTCAGACTCTAGTGCTTGTGTGCACACACACACGTGTGCACGCGTGCAGGAATCACCCGGGAGGCTTGTCAAAGCAGGTTTCTGGCCCCACCCCCAGAGATTTTCATTCAGTTGCTGAGGTGGAGCCTAGGAATTTGCATTTCTAACAGGTATTCTGGGGTCTGCTGCTGCTGCGTCCAGGGACCACACTTTGAGAACAGCTGGGGAGCTTTACAGCCCTGGCCGTTAGCTGGGCAGGGCCCTTGACTTCTCAGTGTTCCCAGGTGGGTCTGTGGTCAGCAGTGACCTTGGACGAACTGCTGTTTGGGGACAGAACATGCCAACGATGGCCCTGCCCAGCCCTGTCCACAGGGATGGGTATCAGAGTCGGGTAAGAGAGAAGCCAGAGGCCTCAGACAGGACGTGCTCTAGCCTGTGGGCTGCTGCTTCCCTGCTGGCCCCCACCATCCGAGCCCTGATGCCATGGCATCTTGCCCGGTTACACTGTCTGTTCTCAGTACGTAGGGGCACAGTTTCCATCAAATTAATTTGCACTTGTTATGCAGACTTGTTAAAAACCTGGAAGTGTGTTTCTGGGTCTTTTCACGGAGATCCCAGGGAGGGGGATCATCCAGGGCAGGGAATTCAGGGTTCCCCCATCTCTCTCCAGTCTTTCTGCGGTACCCAGAGCCGTGCTGACGCAGACGTCAGTGCGCTCGCTAACTCCGTCCTGGACTGGTTAGGCAGCTTGCAATGGGATTCAGGTAATTCTTATAATGGGAGGAATTTTGAGCCCAGAGATCGGACACTCCTGAGTCTAGTCACCTGTGACTGAAATATCTTCCTGTTCAGAAGAGAAAACGTTGGGCTCTGACTCAGGGAGACACAGTTAGAGGTGTCCAGTGATAGACCTGATAGACCTGGAATCCAGGCCGCTGAGCCCTGTTCTCCCACCCTGCCTCGCTGCATTCCCATGGGACCGAGTCCGAAACAGCCGCAGCATCCCTGACGCTGGGGACAGTGCTTGCAGTGACCGCACACTGACCCGGGACATGCAGCCCCTTGGGCCAGCCCGCGGGGATTGCGGAGGGTGGCTGACAGGAACACGGACCTGATTTCCTCAGGTGCCTTCCTTGTAAATCCAGAAAAGAGACAGGAGCCGGCCGGCCTCGGGGTACAGGGCAGAGCCGCCTTCTCAGATCTCGGGCTGGGAAAGCTTTTGGAATGAAGTTTCTCATGGCCTCAGCCAGGTGTTGACCAAGGCCTGTTGGTGGAGCCTTTCTTGGGAACCGCCAGGGTTTCTTAGGACTGAAAGGGACTGGGGGCTTTATTTATAGACTCGATCAGATGGACACACCCAGTCCCAGTCTAGATGGGTGCTTTCTTCAGGTACGAAGAGGGACACAGGTATTACCTGCCACGCGAAGGGCTGTAAAGCAACACTTGGTACATATTTATAATAACTTCATCGGGCCATACAGATGGATTGAAGGACACCACTTTCATGATGCTCAGTGACAACCTGAACTAAATAGTGTATTTTAAGAAACTTACCTTGAAATAACCAGACCCGCAGCAAAGTTGTCACCATCTCGCCACATGCACGTGCGCACACACACACTGTTGCTTCTCTTCTGAGCCACCGAGCGCAGGTTGCGTACTTCGCGTCTCGTTACGCCAGGACATTTCTCCTAAGAGCAGGGACGCCCTCGGGAAGTGTAACAGGGACGCAGCCCCGCGACCTAATCTGCAGTCCGCATTCCGGGTTTGTAGTTGTCTCAGGAGTGTCCGGCCTGGCACTCGGTCCCCTCCAGGCCAGGATCACATCCACGTTTCGTTACCACGTCCCTGGCCCCCTTAGGCTCGGTCAGCTCCCCCGCCGTGGCATCCTTGGAGAATGCGGGCTCCTTAAGTCGAATGTGCTTCTCGGTGCGCCCCGGTGTTTCGTCATGACCAGGTTCAGGGCGTAGATCCCTGGCGCCATGTCCTCCTCAGGTGTCCCTCTGCCCCTCGTTAGTGATGTTGGTCCCCTGGGCAAGGTGCTATTCGGTTTCTTACTTACAGTTAGTATGTTTTCCTTTCCAACTCATAAGCAGCCTGTGGGTGACGCCCTGACCCACCCAAGTGTGTGCTCCTTGTCACTCCCCCGACAGTTATGATCAACACATGATGTTAGCTGAGCAGTTATTTACTAACATGGTTGCAAAATGATCATTTTCCACTACTCCTTCCACACCTATTAGTTTGGTATTCTACTCTAAGGATGAGTTCTCCCTTCTGCCCCATCTAATCACCCACCCA